GATAACCGCCATTATCCGACCGTAATTACTGGAGTTATTACCCTTGGTTTCATTAATGCGATGCATGCGTTCCATGATGTTGTATTGCACTCATTGATCTACCAGTTATGTTGAATGATTTCTCTTTTAATATCAATTACTCACAAATACTTCATATATTTCAATCATACAAACAACTGCTAATTCAATGTGTGACGGGCGTATTATATACCGCTCGCAGTAACCTTGTATACTGAGTTATGGCTTCTGGACACATCTCAAACTTGGCTATTTCAAATATCTCAATCTGAAGTGAATTAAAAGGTGCAGGACACTCTTTATATGCTATAAGTATAAGACATTTATAGTTAATATTGTATATTATATGTATCATATAATATGTGCTCAGCACCTGTGGCTGAAATGAGTCCCAGGTCCTGTGATGTTTTCTTACTTATCAAATTAACTTACAAATCAAAAATGACATTTGTCACCATAATTACAGTAAAATGATTGGTTTAATATATGAAGATACATTTGCTGGTAATTTTAAGTCTCCTAGCCTCAAGGAAAGTATGATTTAATTGTTAAAGTTAACCGATTTCATTGTTTTATTAAATGTTATGCCTATTTCCAATGTTTATCCGCTGATTGTACATAAAAGGCATTTGGGGATAAGCATGCAACTTGGCATAGATATTAGTTATATGATGATATTTAATTTGTGAAAGTTTCATACTTATCCCACAATGCCTTTTTACTTAAAAACACTTTTTCTTGTGATTTGGAGTACAAGGACCAAAGTGCACCTCCTTGCCTGTGTAAAATTATCAACAAAACTCAGATATGGGATACAACATTTTTTAAACATCATTACTCTTAATGTAAATGTAAATCCTTATAACCATGCGCAATATTTCATGTTGACATTACTGTTATGAAGTTTACTATAACAATAGCTCATTTCCCTCAAATTGCGAAAATATCCTCCCCGCGGAAATATCCTGCTATATTTATGGTATCTTGCTAACTTTATAAAAACCATAATTCAGAATTAATTTACTCATGGCACATGTATATCAGTAAATTATCTCGTCCATCATGATTAAATGACCCCGACACGTGTACTGGGTATAAACAACTTATCGTGTACCTACACTGTTTAGTTTGTTGTCCTTGGAGGATGGGGGTGCAGATAGCAGACGTGAGCGTTACCGGCCTTGGAGTATCGAGGATGGGGGTGCAGAGAGCAGACGGGAGCGTTATACGTTACCGGCCTTGGAGTATCGGGGATGGGGGTGCAGAGAGCAGACGTGAGCGTTACCGGCCTTGGAGTATTGAGGATGGGGGTGCAGAGAGCAGACGTAAGCGTTACCGGCCTTGGAGTATCGAGGATGGGGGTGCAGAGAGCAGACGTGAGCGTTATACGTTACCGGCCTTGGAGTATCGAGGATGGGGGTGCAGATAGCAGACGTGAGCGCTACCGGCCTTGGAGTATCGAGGATGGGGGTGGAGAGAGCAGACGTGAGCGTTATACGTTACCGGCCTTGGAGGATCGAGGATGGGGGTGCAGAGAGCAGACGGGAGCGTTATACGTTACCGGCCTTGGAGTATCGAGGATGGGGGTGCAGAGATCAAACGTGAGCGTTACCGGCCTTGGAGTATCGAGGATGGGGGTGCAGAGATCAAACGTGAGCGTTACCGGCCTTGGAGTATCGAGGATGACCAAACGTATATATTCGCATATATTCGCCTAGTTACAGCTTTGGATTATGCGCACTCAACATTAATGTGTTGGAATAACTTTAATAACATTTCAAATGACACCAAGAAGTATAGGGTTTCGGCAGCAGAAGGGACCGAGAACGCAAAAGATACATGTCCCTTGTCTGTATAAAATACTGAATCATGTGAAAGAGTTTTGAAAATGACATTTTATTTGAAAAAAAAACATTGATAAAACATAAAACAGAAATGTGTTCGTAACCAACATGTATATGAACTCGCATACATGTAGTTTCATCCGTCTTACACATTGGTTGTACGCTTCATTGCAATGAACAAATTCAAGAGATCGAACTCCAAAAGGTAAACATAACTGTTCATTGGAAGCGTACCTTGGTATTTCCCATATTATATCATATCTTTTGGACCTAGCATTTTAATATAAAATTTACAAAAAGAATTATGTAAAAATATTAGAATTAGATGAATCATCTCTCCTTAAAAATCCTACATTGTATATATTATATTTTGAGATTTTAAAGTTCTACATTGTAGATTATAATTTGCTAAAAAAAAGTTTCTTGCTTATGCTTTGGTTAGAGCAGTTATCAACCAGTTATTATTAAAAAGGAAGGGAGATTGAATAGCATTTTGATCTAAAAAGTGTAATACAAAACTCTTTTATATTAGTTAGTGTATTTCAAACTAGACATTTCAGGTAAAGGGTACCTCGGCACCAGGTATAATAGAATTCCTAATAACAAAAGAGTTCTTTTGACTCTGAGTATTCTCCCTTCTACATAGAAGGTGAAGCAGCCACAAAAGAGATTTTTCTGACTTAGAATCACATCATTGTCAAATTACCAATAGGCTTCTTAGCCTGTAAATCTTAGACTTAATTGGATGCTGTGAATATTGTTCCCGAACAGCATAATTGGTTAAGTGCAGGCTTCGCAATGTAAATGTCTTGAGTTCGACCCCTGCATTTCCCCCTTCTTTTCGTTTATATTAATTAGATTGTTTTAGCATTTAAATTAGAAAAAAAAATCAATTAAAGTGCACGACAACCTGTGATTTTTATGAAATAATGATTTAAGGACTTATGAAACAAGTATTCGCAACAGTGACAATTGTTATGATGTTGTACCTGTAGCTGTAGTACACCAAATCAGTTTTGAATCCACATTACTGTAAAAAAAACATGCAATGCGATTTCTTATTTTGATATCATCCTTTAACCAATTATTACTAGATGAATTTGGGGAAGTAATAATCTGTTTTTAATTTGTCTATGTTTTGCGTCACAGTTGAATTTGATACACCCAACAACACACACACACACACACACACTCACACACACACACGAACCCGCACACCAACATATATATATATACATCTTAAATGAAACTATAATATAGATATAAACCAGTCAATGAAAACTCAATGTATTAAGACAAATTCGTGTGTAATTAACGACGAATATAGTTAGAATTATTTCTAAATACAAATGTAACACTGGCACAATTAAATTAAACCAACGATTAATGAGTTATCAAAATACAATTCCTATCACCTTCATCGGAAAAAATAATATTACCAATATGAACAAAATAAATAAATAAAAAATCTTAAGATTTAAAATAATGTTTCTACATTGGATGTTGCCTTGTTTGTCTACATTTCTATTTGGAGTTCCTACTCCTACAAGTGGTATGGAAAGCTGCTGACATTCATATACATACAAGAAATGACACAACGACATATGTATATCATTTTGATAGGAAATTAAAATATGAGTACCGATTACCACTGAGAGATCCTGTCGACATCAGTACTGGTAGATAGCTTGTTATCTACTGTGACTTATAGCTTGTTATCTACTGTGACTTGCTATGTAAAGTTAAAAGTCTACCAATGGCAAAACTATCAACGTAACAGTCAACTGTCGTACTTGATCCAAATGTATACACATGTCGTTGTGTCATTTCTTGTATGTATATGAATGTCAGCAGCTTTCCATACCACTTGTAGGAGTAGGAACTCCAAATAGAAATGTAGACAAACAAGGCAACATCCAATGTAGAAACATACATATGTAGACAAAGGGAAGAATAGATACATCTAAAAAAACTTAACGATAGGTAAAAATTCAAAGGTAGACAAAAACAGTAAAATATAAAGTTAACAAATACAAATTAGCAATCAACTTTGAAACTAACATTTAAATATGTAATGACGAAAAACTAAAGTATAATGTAGGCAAAGAAATTGTAGATCAATGTACAAATTTGAAAACGAGAAAACAAAAAGATAAAATATAAACTAAACAAATTTACCATATACATATGTACTTAAAGATGAAAAATTCTGCTCTGACTTTATTATTTGCTTTAATCAATATATATATTAGTGGTTAAAGGTCAATATGTTGGAATTAAGAATTGACTAAGTGGATCTTTTTGTTAAAGATATATGTCTCCATAAGGTTTTCTTGGATGAAGAGAATTCTATAAAACTGAAAAGCACAATTATAAGAAACATTCAATGAGGAATTTTAGGGTCCTTCAGTAATATTTACTGGTTCAAAAATGATGACCAAGAGCTCGCTCACGCGTTTTCCGTTATTCCGTCCTTTCGCATTGCAGAGTTATCTGCTCTTGTGAACAGGTATTGATTGTTATGTAATTAGTTTGTGAGAGTAACGTCATCAATTTTTGAGAAAACGACGTAATTTTCTCACACAAACCAATGACTTAACAATCAATACCTGCTTACAAGGAAAGATAACTCTGTAATACGCAAAGACGGAATAAAAGTAGATGGCACATCATTTTTGCTTTGTTTTGTCAAATTTAAGTTTTGCTCAGTATGAATGATAAAAACTAACATGTTGAGAGTCTAAACATTTTGAAATATCCCTTTTTATATCATGACTAGTAGTGCAGTGGTGGAACCCGGGAAAGATTACTCAAAGCCGAGGCAAGTAAATAAATTACAAAATGTATATAAATAAACATGAAAAATCATATTACATAGATTTCCCTCATAGTACTCTTTTCTAGTAAGGACATTGCTGAATGAGTTGGAACTTGGTAACAACAAGGTGCGCTGGAACATTCTACCAGATTTTAAGCGATAACATTGTCAACATCAATTGCAGTATCTTCCTATAAAGCGTGGTGCGATTTTCCTTCTTGTTTCTAATAAACGCCGAGAACCTAAATCAAACCGCCAAAACCTGCAAATTAAGCAAAGATATATCTTTATGTAACCTTGAATCTTTAAATCTATCATATCGCTCCAAAATTTAAAGATATTGTTTCCGAAGAAAAAAATTCAAAGTTTATTCAAATGTATTGTATAAACATCAATAACAATGTATGTTATGAGAATGCATTATGCAAATCAATCACATGACCTTAGGCAATAGCTAATCTTATTCGTTAAGAATTAAGAAAATACTCGATTTTTGTCTGAATTATTCGATTTTCAAGAAACATATATTAGGTAAAATGATCAAAAATTATAGCCATACATATATTTTTTTTAACCTGCATAGATATCACATATACTTACTCCGAGCCTTTGAAAAAATAAATTTCTCGAGAGCTGATGGCCAAAGCAGCATCAAGGCCCTGTGGTACTCCTGGAAATTTAGAGCTAACATAACCGTACGTTCCTGGCACAATCTCCATTGTTTGTGCGCTAAACTCCTGCACAAAGTAAGTCTGTCAAATAAAATAAGAAGGAAGATTTAGAACACTGCAAGCTCCATCTACCTCTCCCCTGATTGGCGCGGTCATGAATAAGAGATAGAAACTATCGAAATCTGTATAGATTATATATATATATTTGTAAACGCCTGATGAAAGGCTTACTCCCCAGGACAACGAATCGAAGTTAGAGCAGCAGCTACGATATAGTGAATTCAATGTGCTATTTTTAAATAGAGGTAATAAGTCAGATGTAATTTTGATAAATTTTATACATTTTGCGACTGTAAATACACAAATTGATTCTTACCCCAATGATATAAACTCGATTTTGACTTGTAGCGAACACGGCTTTTATTTTTTCACGAAGGTGTCTCCGTGCTCCTGGTATATAGGCACGAACTGTTAGGTCCCGTTCCGAAACAGTTCCTGGTTTTATTTGATACTTCCAGTTTAGCGCCCCTTAAAAACAAATTTACATATGCTATATTGTTAATTGTAATAATAATTCCATGTCTTTTTCATTTTGTGCGAAAGTGTTTATATTAAATAATTTGAGATCAAGAGTATTTGAAAATATTTTAACAACATTATGCTGCGTGTTTGTGTTTACAATCCAGTAGCGAGGTCAGCTGCTATTGGTAGCCACATACTTCTAACAACAGTTATCGGCGCAGACCTTGGCATACTATTTACGTGCCTGCATCTAAAATGTGTTAGACCACACGTAACGAGCACTTCTAAATCATCGGAACTAACGCGGCTGTATATGCTAATCATCAACCTCTCCTGTGCTGATGTATAGGCTATACTTCTTGGAAACGGTCAAAATGAAGCATTTTACTATTGTTAAATATCCATTTATCTTCATTTTATTGAAAAATTAATCTCTTATTTGAAAGAAAATATTGATATTTTACTAATCAGACCCTCCAAACCGCCAATATGATATAATCGATGTGTTTTCTCGTCAGCGAAGAAAATGTTTGATATGAATACACCCCACAATTAGCAATTAAGTCACACATTAATATCGTCGACACTTCCGTATTTATAGAAAAAAGGAGAAAACAATCAATTTAACCATATTTATATATTTTCTGGATACATCCTCGATAATCCAGGGGTAACTTTCATTTTTGCTCTCAGAGCGAAAGTGAGCGTAACCCCTGGAGTACCGAGGATGCTTTGATACATGTAGATGTCCTAGTTATCTAGTTTTTTTCAATGCAGAGTTTAGTGTTACATGTATATCGTCTTCGATTGTAAAGTTGACTTAATTTTGTAAATACTTGGAATGGAAAATCAGTTTTTGTGAAAGCAATTCATACTGTGCCGTACTCAGGGGTATACACCGTGTAAGCATGGGACATTTTAATAATACAACGAAAATTTGGTCGTTTAGTTGATATATGTGCAGGTTTTCCAGTAATGTTGAACATATTTAAATGATTATAGTTACATCATTTTGTATCAGGTTTTATCAAACTGTCGTGTTATTGTGTCCATATACAAAAAAAGGACGACATAACTTTTCGTGCTGTGGCATATGTACACACGGTAACGTACCATATACATGTAACCAATGTTCCATTAGACCATAAAACTATTTTTTGAGATGGCCCCGTATTTACCATAAAACTCTTTTGAGATGACCCTGTGCATTGTATTTACCATGAAACTATATTTGATATGACCCTTTATTAACTATAAAACTATTTATGAGATGACCCTGTATTTACCATAATTCTTTTTGAGATGACCTTGTACATATTTAGCATAAAACTATTTTAGAGATGACCCTTAATTTACCATAAATTTGTTTTTGAGATGACAATGAATTTACCATAGATTATTTTAAGATGACCCTGTATTTACCATAAAACTATTTTTTTGATGACCATGTATTCTGTATTTAGCATAAAACAGTTTTTGAGATGATCCATCATTTTGTTGTCTAGGTCCTGTCCCTGCGTTACAAGCTAGGTTTATATGAAAATGAGATATTTCATTAAAATGCCTGTGTGTGGCCAGTCAAAGAAAGCGACTAACATGTTTAATTCCATCAGTAGGAAGGCTAAAACCATTTTAAGATTAATGACTTACTTCTGAAAAATACTGTGCCAGCAGATGGAACATTGATGACGTCATCAAAATTTTCAGGTGCCTCTGGGAAAATATCGGAAGATTTGACTTGTTCGATGAATCCATCGTTTAACGTCATCCGGATTACGTCTCCTTTGGAGTTAAACGCCAGGATATCCCCGTTGTCATCTGTATAAATATTTAGATGTATAATGTTTATTCGAAAATGGTTACTTCCATAAAAGTATTAATTGCACATGTACTGCAAACCCAATAACGGCCTACTTCGCTTACCCTCCCAATATCATATTCGGATTTATATTTTGTCTGCCTGATCCTTATAATGTCGCCGAAATCGTAAACGATGCATGTACAATGCTTGTGATGGAAAAATGTAACGAGACTTTACTGTATGAATTCACAGAAATAACTTACCCTTCATGACACCTTTGAATTCGAATCTACATATATCCGGGGTCGTTGGTGGAGGCGGGGTTGTGATAGGTGGTCCTCGAGTCTGGGTTGGTGTTTGCGTTGGGCGTGGTCTTTGCGTTGGGCGTGGTGGCCGAGTGGGAGGTGGGAGCGTAGTCAATGGTGGGTCGGGAGTATTTGATGGACTACCTACAAGAAAAATATAATAATAATAATAATAATAATAATAATACTGGACGCAGGCAATATGCCTATATATCCAGATCTGGAATATCGTCAGACACTATGCTGACGTCCCGGCAATGAATAAGTTCATTATTGTCGATCTCATGGTTATAGATCCAGACGGAATTCAAATGTTTTGATTGTTGGTGAGGTGACGACAGTATCGGGTAGGGAGTTCCAGTGGTTTACAATACGTTCTTTAAAAACATATTTTCTTAAGTTCAACCTGCACATTCCCTTTAGTAGTGTGAGACTGTGGCCTCTTGTTCTTTTGTTATTATTTAGGCATAAAAATCCTTATTATGTAATACTCTTTACGACATCAACGAACATACACTTATCGAACTAATAGAATGCTTTCTATTGGCATCCAAACCTGCACAAGCCGACAGGTAATATTCTCCGGTGGAAATTACTCACATCTTAAACATTTTAAAGGATGGCCTATATGAATGTATTTCGTATTATTTCTCCCAATGAGTCGGCTAGTTTGCGAATCAAGATTTCCATATTTGGCAAAGTGAGATTTGACAATTCGATTAAGACGGAAACAATTTTTCCATCAATCGCTCAAATGACTAGAATTGTGTACTGGTCCTTAGAATGTAACTCCGTGGGCGATATATCAACAAAATAATGTCAAGATTAAAGAACGTTTTCCTTTTTTTTTAAATAACGTAAATATGCGGATTGAATAAAAAAAATGCTGATAAATATTACGCAATATTTTACCTGCCATGTTCCATCAATGTCAAGATACAAACATTGAACTTATCATCACAGGGGATTTTAACATCGACATCACTTTGAGTATAAACTTACACCAGATGGTACGTGAACCAACTCGTGTGTATGAAACCAGACCTTTAATAGACCATGTGTATGTTTCAGCCCCAGAACACATACGGTTACTCGAAGTGGTACTAAATGACTTGAGTGATCACTATACCGTGTGTTTTGTAAGGAAACGCAAATTTGGTATGGAGTTTCACACACTTCGATATTTTACAGATATTTTAAGAATTTCGATGTGCGGTCATTCCTATATGACCTTGAACTTGTACCATGGTTAATAATTGAGTCCTTCTCGGATGTAGATGACGCCCTCAATGCTTGGATGGACCTTTTCCTTGCCGTTGTAGATCAACATGCAACCAAGCTTCAAATGAGAGTGAAAAAAACTTCTCAACCAGAGTGGATGGACGATAATATACTAGAAAACATTCGCCTGAGAGACCAATATAAACAAAGAGGCGATACCGACAGATATCGCCAACAGCAAAATAAAGTTACAAAACTTATTATAGATGCCAAGTCCCTCTTTTTCCAAAATGTTATTGAGAATAATCTCGATAACCCTAGTAAACCTTGGAAATATTTTCGCGAAGTGGCTCCTAAGCAGTCTACTTCTTCTCTTAGTATGGTTGAAGTAGACGGCAAACCTGTATTTGACAAACTAGATATTACCGAAACCTGCAACACATATTTTTCATCTATTGCCAGTAATTTATGAACAACATTGAATAATATATCTGCTTCATTTTATATATAGTGCAATCTTATTCAGTCCAATATCGCTGAAAATTGTGTATTTTCAATTCCTAGAGTCACAGAGAAACTCACTGATTATTTCCTTAAGTCTCTAGACACTCATAAAGCTATAGGTCTAGATGATGTTAGCTATAAGTTGTTAAAAACTGCAAGTTCTCATATTTCTTCTTCTTTGACATATGTATCAAATTTGAGTGTAACAACTGGTATTTCCTAGCCAATGGAAAACTTTAAAAGTAATACCACTGCACAAAAGTGGGTCAATGTCGGATATATCAAATTACAGACTGATTTCGGTCCTACCAATTATGTCTAAAATTCTAGTTCTAGAAAGACATATTCATAATAGTTTTTTATGCTTTTTTAAATGGACATAATCTACTAGGGTAGCAGAAATGGCCCGACTCTGATAAACAAGGCACATGTCGAGGAAATGTAAACACAGCGGATTTACCCTACACAACACATGTATACATGTATATATATTTGTAAACTGCATTACATTTACAATACATATAAAGCACTGAGAAGTGTTTAAACCTCTTTTTTCTATGTATGTCCCTTGTATGAAAACCATGGTTACCACATCAACAATTACCAAAAAATGCCAAAAATTGCAATTTTTGACCCAAAATTTGACCCCCGCAACTATTTTTTTTTCTTAAGTTCTGTCCGAAATTAAAGATTACCTACCTGGTTGCAGAATTATCTGGGTCCCAGTAAAGTTTGATTTTTGCAATTTTGCGTCGTGTGCTGTTGTTAAAATTTTACCTCCTGTAAAGCTAGCTTTTCATGTGTACCCTTTCGGATTATGGCCAAAATTTTATTCTTGAACCAAAAAAATCTTTTTTTTTTATACAAATATGAAGCTCACATAGCCCACTTCATCATGCTTATACCAATTTTAGTACAGTTTTATTTTTAAAATTGTTTTGCATATCATTATACAGGGGTTAGCTATTTAACAAAAATATCAACCGTGGCCACAACCCTCTACTGTATACTGCTACCTAGTTGCCTCACAATCAGGATTTCGTAAAAATCACTCCTGTGAGACTGCCCTTCTCAATATTGTCAACAATTGGGCAAAAGAAATTGACAATGGAAGTATCAATGGTGTGGTTTTTATAGATTTTAGAAAAACCTTTGCTATGGTCAACCATAAAGTATTAATTCAAAAGCTAGCATTGAATCAATGTGATTGCACATCTTTGAGTTGGTTTAAATCTTACCTTTCAGATCGAGTTCAAAAAGTTACTGTATCTAGTCAAATCTCTAGCAGTATGCCTATTGTGCATGGTGAACCCCAGGGGTCCATATTGTTATAAATGATTTGCCACTTAAACGCCAGTCTTCCACTGATATGTATGCCGACGACTCAACTTTAAGTGCGTCAGGTTGTTCTATTCCTGTTGTACAGGAACAGTTGTAATCAGACCTTATCAAAGTCTAAGAGTGGTGTTGTGAAAATAGAATGATTCTTAATACAAGTAAAACCAAATGCATGGTTATGGTACAAAACAGAAGTTGAGTAGAACCAATGATGTTTAAAACCTTACATTAGATCAGGAAATTATCCAACAGGTAAAATCTCAAAAAACTTCTGGATGTCAAAATTGACAACAATTTATCTTGGTCAGATCACATTGTAGCTATTGTCTCTAAAGTAAACCGCGGTTTGGGTTTACTCAGACGTGTACGTCAATATTTTCCACTTCCAGCCAGATTGAATTTGTTCCATTCCTGTATTTTCCCCACTTTCTGTATTGTTGTACGGTGTGGAGCGGATGTTCTCTTAACCTAATACAGAAAGTGTCAATAGAAGAGAAACAAGCTGCAATATTGCTTTTCGATGCTCCCTTTGACACCCCATCTGTGGAAATGTTTTCTGTATTGAGATGGATACCAATTCGCAATTATTTGAAATTTAAAAGAGGTGTTATGGTGTATAAATGTGTCAATAATCTTGTACCTGAACACCTATCTACACAGTTCAATTTGTCTAATGTTATCCGTACAAGATCAGCTTCACAAAACTTTATACAAGTACCAAAACATCGTACTTCTTTTTATTCAAAACAGTTTGTGGTGGAAGGGAGCCAAATTTGGAACAGCTTAACAGTAGAAACACGACTTTCATCCTCCTATTCCTAAATTCAAACAAAACATGATTGGAAGCATTAGGAATACAGTTTGAATATGTTTATTTTTATTAAAGAAACTTCTTCATATAGCTTTTTGATGGTTTTATTCACGCTATATTAGCGTGCTGTCAATTTTTAGTTTTTGCTACATTAGCATATATGTAATTTAGACATTTGGACATTTACTGAATACCATATTGGTTCAGCATAGAACATTGTATCTCTGCTTCTGTAATAATTTTAATGAAAAGTGTAAATGACCCTTTAATTGTATGTATATTTAATTTAATTATAGTAATTTGATAAGCTCAACTACTTTTATGCCTATGCTAACTGTGATAATAATTTGAATGCTCATTTGTTTTCTATTATATCATGATTTTAACTAACCCTTTTACTAACAGAGGACCCTGTGGAAAATTAGCTTTGCTAAACAGGTTTTTTATCCTCAATAAATAAAGTTTATTATTATTAATATTAATATTCTATCACAGCTTTTGTGTGTGGTATACTTAATGTCTTCAAAAACTGGAAAATGATCGTTCATAATGAGGAAAAGGACAAAAAACACTTATTGGCATTTTGATCTATGTCTTACCATACAGAGACTGTATACCCCGAATATCATCCCAGTGCAGTTGGTAATTTGCCTTATAGCCCGCATAGTAAGGCGCCATCAAAGCATCCCCGTTTGACGAATGTGCGAGCCCTAAGGAGTGTCCGAACTCATGGGCTGCTACAGTAAATAAGTCAACCCCTGTGTTGTTTATGACCCAGCGTTCATCATCATCGAAATGAGCTATACCGTGTTCTGGATAAAAGGCATGTGCTAATACCAATCCTGAAATTGTAATAGAAACATCTTAGTAAGTTGAATGAACAAGGTATGTACTAATACAAATCTTGAAAGTATAATGGAAACACCTAAGTATGTTGGTTGAACCAGGTTAAAGATATGTACTAATACAAATCCTGAAAGTATAATGGAAACACCTAATTAAGTTGAATGAACAAGGTTAAACGTATATGTTAGTTGAATGAACAAGGTTAAAGTCATGTACTAATACAAATCCTGAAAGTATAAAGGAAACACCTAAGTAAGTTGGATGAACAAGGTTAAAGTCATGTACTAATACAAATCCTGAAAGTATTATGGAAACATCTATGGAAGTTGGAAGAACAAGGGTCAAAATCATGTTCCTTTCGCAAGGCAATGTACATATGATTCATGTTCTTGTCACAGCAGAGTTTGAATTTTATGACGTACAGTTATTGCTCGAAATATAAAGTACCACTTTTTATATGTATTATTACGATATTATGTCAAGTCAAGTATATTGCACTTATGTTTATCATTCCTTACCGTTGCCATCAAATGACGATCCATCTCCATGATCACGCCTTTCAAATGATATTATAATGTCTGCTCTGCTTTCATCATCGGTATAACTTACTTCTAACGATGATACATCTGTCCACACTTTGAATGCACGTGCGATTTCCGTCCTAAACAATTTCAAAACATAAAAATATAGACTGAAAACATACTTATGACGTCTTTTAGATGACCGTAAGGATACAGTTTAAAGGATTAATAAAAAAGATTTTTATTTTTTTATTTTTTTAGCAACATTTTCAGTATTTAATATAAAAGACAAAAAGTGTCTTTGTGTTCATATGCAATTGCATTATCAGCTTAATGTATTATAAGTTGTTTATATGACTATCAGGCAGCAGTTTGATAATTTTCATTGGTCGACACAATTGTTTTACACAATGTTTTATCATTAAGCAGGTAAAACAATGAAGTAGGCACTGTACCAATGTTCAATAGTATGCTAACGAATAGCATTGCGGCTTACCTCGTTCTCGACTGGTCCAGTTGATTAGTAAATCCAGTTCCTCTGAGAAAAGTATACGATAGCCGTGTCTTTCCCCATTTTCCTGGTCCTGGAAAACAAATTCACCCATGAGAGGTTTTATTTTTATATATTTGTTTGTTAAAGTATAGGGGTTCCTCTAAAAACTATATGTTAATTAGATTTTCACCAGGAAATCGTTCCACAATAGGTTTTGAGACTTGGTTACGTGTATTAAGTATCAGATTGAAAATTGATTTTGTTTCGAGTATTTGAAGCCAATACAACGAGACGAAATTACAGACAATAATTATTTAAGATCCCTATACCCATGTTAAATGGGTTTTCCCATGTACAGTTACCTCCCCTTTACATCTGTTTGAATATAACCGTAGAACAGTCAAGCCAGGACAGTTACGTTGACCAGATCGCTCAAATGGGTAGAGCTATAGTATAACAATGTGAAGACAAGGTTTCGAATCCCTGTCTACGGAACTTGTAAGCTCAGAACAGTGTTGATGATGATATTTTGTTTATTTTATCTTTACAATTTTCGTAAAAGTTCTGCAAGGTATGGATTTCTTTTTAGAAATGATTAAATACAGCTTTAGTCATGGCGGATCAGATAAGTTTTGGCAGTGGTACGGGGATATAAATAAAAGAAACACGCGAGGTGAATATCAATACACAGGTTGAAGTTAACAAGCTTAACTGTCCTATATAAATACTATATATTAATATTAGTGTCTTGATTGAATTCTACAGGCATAACTGTTCTATATCAATACTATATATTAATGGTAATACACTGATTAAGTATTACAAGATTTAAACTGTTTTATATCAATACTGTATATTAATAGTTATACCTTGATTGGATGTTTTAGGCTTAAACTGTTCTATATCAGAACTATATATTAATAGTAATACCTCGATTGAATTCTACAGGCATAACTGTTCTATATCAATACTATATATTAATGGTAATACCTCGATTGAATTCAACAGGCATAACTGTTCTATATCAATACTATATATTAATATTAGTGCCTCGATTGAATTCTACAGGCATAACTGTTCTATATAAATACTATATATTAATATTAGTGCCTCCATTGAATTCTACAGACATAACTGTTCTATATAAATACTGTATATTAATCTTAGTGCCTCGATTGAATTTTACAAGCTTAACGGGTCTATATCATATTAATATTAGTGCCTTGATTGAATTCTACAGGCATAACTGTTTTATATCAATACTATATATTGATATTAGTGCCTCGATTGAATTCTACAGGCATAACTGTTCTATATAAATACTATATATTAATATTAGTGCCTCCATTGAATTCTACAGACATAACTGTTCTACATCAATACTATATATTAATATTAGTGCATCGATTGAATTCTACAGACATAACTGTTCTATATCAATACTGTATATTAATCTTAGTGCCTCGATTGAATTTTACAAGCTTAACGGTTCTATATCATATTAATATTAGTGCCTTGATTGAATTCTACAGGCATAACTGTTTTATATTAATAGTGTATATTAATGGTAATACCTTGATTAAGTATTACAAGACTTAAACTGTTTTATATCATTACTATATATCAACTGTTCTATATCAAAACTATGTATTAATGGTAATACCTTGTTTGAATGATGCAGACTTAAACTGTTTTATATCAATACTGTATATTAACTGTTATATATCAATAATAAATATTACTGTTCTTTATCAAAACTATGTATTAATGGTAATACCTTGTTTGAATGATGCAGACTTAAACTGTTTTATATCAATACTGTATATTAACTGTTCTATTTCAATAATATATATTAACTGTTCTTTATCAATACTATATATTAATGTCATTACCTTGATGGAAATCTACAGGCTTAAACTGCTCTATTTCAGTACTATATATTAATGGTAATACAATGATTGGATTCTACAGGCTTAAACTTATCTATATCAATACTATATATTAATATTAATGTCTTGATTGAACTCTACAGGCTTAAATTGTTCTATATCAAAACTATATATTAATGGTAATACAATGATTGGATTCTACAGGCTTAAACGTTCTATATCAATACAAATGTACTATATACTAATGGTAATACCTTGATTTGATTCTACAGGCTTAAACGTTCTATATCAATACTATATATTAATATTACTGTCTTGATTGAACTCTACAGTCTTAAATTGTTCTATATCAAAACTATATATTAATGGTAATACAATGATTGAATTATACAGGCTTAAACTGTTCTATTTCAGTACTATATATTAATGGTAATACCTTGATTTGATTCTACAGGCTTAAACGTTCTATATCAATACAAATGTACTATATACTAATGTACTAATGGTAATACCTTGATTTGATTCTACAGGCTTAAGCTGTTCTATATCAATACTATATCTATTATGATAATAATAATAATAATAATTAGAGGTTCTTATATAAAAATCACAACCTAGTTCGTAGGTCGTCTCAAAGCGGTTCACAAATTATTATCAGTGGTTATAGGGCCTTTGCAACCAGCTCATACGTTTCTCAACTCCATGGGGAGCTTACAGCCGGAGCTGCCATTTCGGCGCTAACAGCTAGCACTCAACGATTCTAGCACTGCCCAACCACATACTCATATACGGCTGAGTAGACTGGAACAAGCAGATTAAAGTATCGAGCGCAAAGATACAACGCGACTCGAACACGCAACCCTTCGGTCACGAGCCCGGCGTCCTACCACTAGACTACCGTGCCTCCTATGATAATACATTGATTGAATTATACAGGCTTACCTGTTCTATTTCAATACTTAATGTACATGTTAATGGTAATACCTTGATTAAATTCTGCAAGCTCAACTGTTCTATATGAACACTATATATCATTGATAGTACCTTGATTGAATTCTACAGGCTTAAACTGTTTCAAATCTCTCCTGGTTCTCATCATAATTTTTTTCTCCGGCATTACGAGATCGTTACAGCCACATCTTGGTTTTTTCATCAGAGCAATTGTGTTTGTATCTGCGGTACCAGAGACTTCCAGGGAGTTAAAGTTTTGAAAACGCCTGTAAAAAATAGAAGTTCAAACAGTTGTATTTAATATCACACGGCATTTTTGCTAACATTTATTTTGCAATGTTAACTACATGTAGGTATTAGTCTGTGGGTATGAATTCAAGAAATCTACATTTTATTATTCTGATTGATGACAAATTTTAATATCCAGCATGCATATTTCTATCCGCAAATAATTGTATGGAAGAGAGCAATGATCACTTATATTCCTTTGAAAAGGTGTACTCTTTTGTTTATAAATAAATTATGCATGCATTGTTTTTCTATATTAATTATTTTGACGAACCGTATTACTAAAAATACCATACACCCTGTGTTATGAATCACAAGAATCAGCTAAGGCTATATGTTAATATATATCTAGTTTTATGTTTTTCTGTAAAGTATGATCATTTGAGCTAAAAAAGAAAAACGTGAATTGCTTTTGTGAGTGTAGTTTTGAAGTTAATTTTGATAATGTTGGATAAATTCAGAAATATGCATATACTTCAGTGACTATAACGTAATTGTTCCGGAGGGCAATGTTTACAGAAAACAAAGAACTCAAACATACAATACTTCCGCCTTATACAAACATAAGTGTTATTCTTTAATGAAACAGATGACTCCTAACACACATCATGCCAGTGATACATATGCATATTCCCAATCTGACTGTGTAGTCGATGAAGTTATCAGAAGACCGACGTTTATCACCATGTGAACCTCATTTTACTCCCATGTACAGAGTGATAACGTTGTTTGCCTAATCATTTTAACGATTCTCGGAATCTTACTCATATGATGAATGACAGATACCCTATGTTTTGAACACCACTCATCGTAAAATTGCAACCATATATGCAAATATGAATGTGTCACTGAATCTTCCAGGAAAAAACTACTTAGAAGTATTTCATTATATTTTATATACATTGGTAAGGGTATACAATACCCTTTTTCACACTACAAAGATAGGAGGAATAAGGTTTATCATGTAAGTGTTCAATAAACAATGTAATCTATCGTAAGAAACACTAAATAACGAGTAGTGAAGTTATTGTTGTCTCTCTATCTCGTCGTTAAGTAAAGTCGGCCGTTCAAGATGTCTTCCCTTTGAAGTTGTTAGAACAACAGTAGAATTATAGAAATTCAACGTTTCATAACCTCGATTGACCCCATTGTGTTTAAACACTTTGTACACTGATTTTAAACTATGTATTCTTCATTTTTTCCCAAAATATTCAGCAATGTATTTTGTTAGATAAAAAAAATCAGGATAACATTTATGCCAATTATATAAGGTTCCATTGCGTATTTACAGTTTTGGCAATGATCCTTCACTTAGAAAGTTTGTACATTCATGATAATGTGATAATCGTGATCTTCCATTCTTTCAATCCCCTTTTTAAATAGCATATTTTCCTATTGGTGGTCATGTAGGTGTCCTTTGCCCTACACATGGTTTAATTTTGAATCATAGCAAATATACGTATTACCCTGATAGCCCTCAATCGGTAACCCACCACAAGCTTTTGCAAAACTGCTTGTCTTTGATATACCAAATGAATAAATGATCAATTTTATATTATGTACTGACTGTAGGCATAATTTCCTGATTTCGGGTGTAGCAGGAATACCAGTTCCCGGCATTCTGTCCTGAGTATAGCCATACATTCGGCAATATTCCTGGAAAAAAAATGCATCACACATTTATGATTTTTTATAATACTTATTAATTTCATAATTATTGCCATCAATAAATATTATAAAAAACATTGTTGTCAACAAACAAAAAATGATGAACAAAATCTCTGTTGGATAAACCAATTAAACACATTTTTTTTCCGAATTAGCAGCTAGAAACGTTTATAAACTGTTTCAGAAAACTTTTATTAACCATTTCCAGAGTCAGTTAACAACGTTTTTAACGCCGATCACTTGATTTTTTGCGTAATATGGAAAGAGACATATTCTAGTTACAAGTATATACCTCAGTATACAATTTAATTAATTTGCCAGTTGCCAGATATCTTAAAATAGCAGGTACATGTATATATGAAATTCGGTTATGTCCTTTATTGAGTAAAATCATGTCAATCGCTGTAACCACTTATTAACTGAAAAACCGATAAAAAGAAATGATATAAAGAAATGTTTGTTTGTTTTGCCTCTGTTGTTGTTGTTTGTTTGTTTTATAGTTTTTTTTAGCTCACCTGGTCCTTTAAAACGCTACTAGTCCTGAATGGCCAAGTAGATTTTAACTAAATTAAATCTGGAGCATCCTTAGGCCAAGGGGACTCAAATTTGTATAAATGGTGGGTGTGGCCAACCTCGGGGCAGAGGGGCAGGGCCAAATAGAGGAAATATTGGTAAAACCTTTAAAATCCTTCTTCTTCTGTAGGGATCTAGGGATTTTATCCTATTTTAGTCTGGAGCACACTTTGGCTAAGGGGACTCAATTTTGTATAAATGCGGGGCCGAATAGGAGAAATATAGGTAAAACCTTTATAATCCTTCTTCTATCGTAGGGATTACGGGATTTTTATTTATTTTTTAATCTGGAGCATTCTTTGGCCAAGGGGACTTAATTTTATATAACCAGTCGGTGTGGCCCCCTTTGGGGGCAGAGGGGCGGAGCAGAATAGGGGAAATAGAGATAAAGCCTTTAAAATCATTCTTCTACCTTAGGGATGAAGAGATTTCATCCCAATTTGGTCTGGAGCATCCTTGAGCAAAAGGGACTCTATTTTGTATAAACAGTGAGTATGGTCACCCTGGGAGCAGTGGGCGGGGCCCAATGGGGAAATAGAGCAAATTCTTCAAATTTGGTTTTGAAGCATCCTTTGATGAAGGGAAACAAAAATTGTACAAACAGTTGGCCTGACCCCCTTGGGAGCAGAGAGGCTGGCCCCAATAAGGGATATAAAGGAATAGCTTTAATATCCCTTTTCTTCCGTAGGGATTAAGGTATTTTGACCAAATTTGAACAGTTGCATCCAATGGGGAAAGGAAATCAATTTTGTATAAATGGTAGGTCTTAACCCCCCCCCCCCCCCGGGGCCTGGGGGGTTGGGGCCAATGGGGGGAATTTAAAAAATTTTTTAAAAGTCTTCTACTCTTTCTGTAGGAATGACAGGATTTTGTCCATATTTGGTCTAAAGCATCCTTTGGTGAAGAGGACTTTATTTTGTATAAACATTGTGTCTGACCCCCTGTGACACAGGGGCGGCCCAATAGGGGAAACATAGCAAATTCTTCAAAATACTTCTTCTTTTGAAGGAATGACAGGATTTTGTCCAAATTTGGGACGAAGTACCCTTGGGTGAAGGGGAACTAATTGTGTATAAACCATGGGTTTTAGCCCCCTGGTGCAGAGGGGCGGGGCAAATAGGGAAAATATAAAAATAGCTTTAAAATCCTTCTTCTGGAGGAATGACATGATTATGTCCATATTTGGGTTAAAGCATCCTTGGGTGAAGGGAAACTAATTTTGTATCAACGATGGGTGTGACCCCCTTTGGGCAGAGGGGCGGGGCCCAATAGTGGAAATATAGCACATTCTTCGAAATCCTCCTTTTCCTGTAGGAATGACAGAATTTTGTACATATTTGGTCTGAAGCATCCTTTGGTGAAGGGGACTATATTTTGTATTAAATTGTGTCTGACCCCCTGGGACAGAGGGGCGGGGCGCAATAGGGGAAACATAGCAAATTCTTCAAAATACGTTTTCTTTTGAAGGAATGACAGGATTTTGTCCAAATTTGGGACGAAGCACCCTTGGGTAAAGGGGAACCCATTTTGTTTAAACTGTGGGTTTTAACCCCCTGGGGCAGAGGGGCGGGGCCAAATAGGGAAAATAGAAATATAGCTTTAAAATCCTTCTTCTGTAGGAATGGCAGGAGTATGTCCATATTTGCTCTAAGGCATCATGTGGTGAGGGGAACTAATTTTGTATCAAAATACAAAATCCCCCCTGGGGGCAGAGGGGCGGGGCCGAACAGTGGAAAACATAGCTAATTCTTCAAAATCCTCCTTTTCCTGTAGGAATGACAGGGTTTTGTCCAATTGCATATAAATATAACCCTTGACTAACCATGTAATACATGTACAGCAACATCTGGCTATTTCATCATCTTCAATTTTGCTAACATTTCCAAGTGAGCGATACAGGCCCTCTGGGCCTCTTGTTCATGAACTTACTTTGTTGTTTTGGTTCATAATACATTGGAACAGGATACCTCAAGGTGTAAATACAGGCGTTAGAAATATCAAGAGATACCTTAAATGTACATATTTGCATAGTGATGGTGTGATGGCAGTTATATAAATACATATAATATAAAAGACTAAATGTCCACAAGAAGTAGGTACATATAGACAAAATAAGATAATTTTTCGTTTTTTTAGTCGGTCGTTAGATTTTATTGTTTATATATATTAGATAAAGTATTTTGGAAAAAGATACGGGTACCAAATTTCACTGTATGTGTTTATATGTTTAATGTGATGTTTATAATATACATTACTGAATTTACGTATTGTACACATTGCTATAATTATGGTATACATATAGATGTTGAAATATGTCATCAGTTTTAAAATTTCCTCCGTTTACTTTCTTCTTCTCATCCATTTGTTCACCATTCGTAATGAAAGTTTTAGTACAGTAATATGTTTCCTTTCATGTGAAGTTGGATAAGGTTCACATATATACATATATAATGTTTATACTTTGTGATACAGTATACTAACATATATACTGTTTATACTGTGATATAGCATACCCGTATTTATAATGTTCATACTTTGTAAAATAGTATACTTACATCTATAATGTTTATACTTTGTGATACAGTATACTAACATATATAATGTTTATACTGTGATATAGTATACCTTTATTTATAATGTCCATACTTTGTAAAATAGTATACTTACATCTATAATGTTTATACTTTGTGTTACAGTATACTAACATACATAATGTTTATACAGCGATATAGTATACCTGTATTTATAATGTTCATACTTTGTAAAATAGTATACATTGTACTTACATCTCTAATGTTTATCCTTTGTACATACGTATACTTATATACTTACATCTATAATGTTTATATTTTATGATAAAGTATACTAGCATATATAATGTTTATACTGTGATATACAATGTAGTATACGTAGATCTATAATGTGTATACTTCGTTAAAGAATTACGTACATTTATAATGGTTATACTTTGTAATATAGTATACTTCCATCTAAATGTTTATATTTTGTAATTTATTATACCTATATATCTATATTATTTTTTCGTTGTCAATATGTAATATAATATACTTAAATCTATATTTTTTATACTTTGTTATATAGTATACTTAAATCTATAATGCTGATACTTTGATTAATATTAATAATGTGTATAGTTTGTAATATAGTTTACTTATATCTCTAATGTTTATAGTTTGTAATGTAGTTAACTTGCATCTAAAATGTTTATATTTTGTACTATAGTATACTTATATCTTGTATGTTTATGTTTTGAGATATAGTATACTTACATCCCTGTCGATATCTGTCATTCCATCACAGATGCCATAAATATATATCAGCAACAATAAAAAATGGAACACGTTTTTACATTCCATTATTATGGTTATGGTAGAAGGGAGACTCTGTATGAACGATACACACAGACAACCGGAAACAACTAGCTGCTCCCTTCCTTTGCGTATTACACACAGTCTAGAGCGTGTGTACATACAAATACCGGAAACTAGGAGAGTGTAATGTGAACATGAGTGTATGTGGTTTTCGTCATCAACAACAATTAGCACAGTTTCTTTATTTTCTCATCTAGAGTCATCCTTTTCTTTATATGACGATGAGTCATATTAAATGTGATTGTGAACTGTTCACGCACCATCCAAGCATTGATTTCATTTAACATAAACACTATATTTATTTACCACCTCGCTTATCACAACCACATATTACGGCACGTTTTGGTTTTTCTTTGTGATCTTTACAATTCCACAATAAGTCTATCTCAATTGATGACAACAAATACTTCAAACCCTTTTCTCCTTTTTTGTACATTTTGGTCAGAATAACAAGCTTTTACTTTATGAATCTATTGATTTATGTTTGAGTCACTGAATGCTTTGTCGAATGATCACTACATCAAAAAATATCTGCATCATAAGATATGCCATAACATGTCTTTATTTTATTAATCAAAATTGCCGATGCATGTCGATTGTTATAGGAGTAACCAAATCTGATATGTTTATTGCATGAACTATGGTGAACAGAGATTGGGTGGGTAGAATGTTAGTCAATCAATCATACAATACACTATTAAAAATCCTTCTTGTGAGCTCCTTTTAGACAGATTTACATGGACACTGACGTAGCATTAAGCACTTGTAACAATGCGTTCTGTGATGCGCAAAGTGAGAAAAAAAGAAGGAGAAAATAGAAATCTGTTCTAGGAGAATAATTCCGTTCCATTTTGTCAAAGAAACTATCTAAATGATATGATTATATTTATTTCGATTCTTGTTTCTTATGAAGCGGTCGAAATCGTATACCATGATTAATTTTAAAAGCTTTCATTTCCTTTTGTCCAGGTCCTTATAATGTAAAGAAAATGCATCAGGATCACTAATGTACTAAAAATTACTATTTAATACACATTTTGTCAATGATACTATCTAAATGATAGGATTATATTTATTTTGATTTTTGTTTCTTATGTAGCAGTCGAAAATATATACCATGATTAATTTAAAAAGATTTCATTTTCATTTGCTGGTCTTTATAATGTAAAGGAAATGCATCAGGATCACTAATTTTGCTAAAAATTACTATTTAATACACTATTGTAACTCTTGTTATGTTTGAAATAGTTTATATCGGATGGTATATATACAGTAACTTACAAGTTTCTTAAAATGTAGCGTGTAACCGAACAAGTGTATAGCGAGTCTTGCTTATTCAAACCTCTTTATGCCCCACGACACAATGTTGTATTATGACTTTAATTTATACGATGTATATTGTATGTTTTTCCAAATCAGCTGGCTATCTGAATTATTTTAATACCGCATATTTGATTGTACGTACTTATTATTTTTATTTTGTCACTGTTGACAAAGCAAATCAGTTAGACAACATCCTACAGAATATGACAGGAACGGAAATGGTGGATTTAATTGTTAATAGATTGCCATTTTCCAATAAAATACTAACATGTGTCACTATATATATACTTTTCCAAGTAAAATGACTAATTTTTTTTTTCAATTGTGTTTCATTACACACGCATAGAAACTCTGTGGTGTTATTTTGAGTATTTGTCAAACAGAGAAATTATTTTCTACATTTTTTGCAAGATTACAACTGAGTGAACATGCTTGATTTATCAAAAATGTTGATAACATATAAATATTAAAATTGCTAAAACATAATCCATATATTGCAAACCATTCTTTGATTATAGAATAAGTTGACCTCCCCTGCGACAGTTTCGCATCGTGACGTCCTTACTCTAGTGAACGCGTTTACTAATTCGTGTTAGTGAAAGCTCACTAGGCGAAGTAGTTGATGGGTTTTATTTGTATCAATAATAAACAGTAAGGCGTTAATATCATTAATCAGTTACTAACGACAGCAGAGATGATGTAAAATGTTCATTACGTTTTTGCGAGACACAATGTCAATGATATTGATGCCTGTCTTACTAAAGTAGAAGAAGAAATCGATATATTATCCGTGCTCAAGATTCAAATGTACCATCCAGGCGACGAAAACACCTAATGCATTAGCCCGGCGTAACATGTGCTAAATACCTGGCATTAAATGATCAGTATTTGATGAATAAAAACACTATAAGCCATTTAATAGTACTTATAGTTTCTGAAAAAATCATAGTATGGCTTAGAAATATCTAATATATATTATAAGTGAATTATGTCTAAGAAAATATATAATCCGTTTTATTTGTATGAAAGTTGATATTTAAGATTGGCGAGAGTTTGTGTATATTGCTAATATTGATATTTGTTACCAGATGATATTCACAAATTTCACATACCATGCCATTCATTCTCTTTCTAGGAGACGCACTTACGTATTTTGTAAAAACAGGATGGGTCAATGCATCATCTTATAAAAACTAGGAACCTAAGAAGTTCGATTACAGTATTGTGATGGGTGAAGAGGAAGCTGAATGATTCATGGTGTGTTATCCTAGAAGCTCAATCCCATCTAGTACAAATCTATCCTCACTGACGTCTCACTTATTTGTATTTTATGACTCGCCCAACTCCGGAAAACCTTGTCTAGTCAATCGCTTTTTTCATTGACACCTCACTATTTTATGTTTATTCTAACAGCGCTGCTTATATACATGTACTTAACTCTGTGTCTATCACACTACACAGCCTATAGTTCGTTAGTCAGTGGCTGATCCTTCTGGAACGAGATATCAGAAATATTAAATTCGAGAACGGGATGACGTGCTATGCATCAGACTACTTACAACGGTCAAGCGTGACGACGGAAGTAAGAGAGGTTAAACTGAAGGGAGAGGATCGGCTGTGGTTTATAATGAATAACTTATTGTGATATACAATGACCTTTACAATGACCCTACTTATATTGCGTAAGACTTATATATTCGGGATTTTCGCGAAACGGGACGCTTTTGATTATATATACATATATTAATAATACTACTAATAATACATTACATATATATATAAAAGGCAAGAGTTTCTTCCACTTCCCTAATGCTTTCTTCTCTTTAGAGGTTCATCATGGAAACAGTTCCCCTGATGAACCTCTAAAGAAGAGAAAACGCTAGGGAAGTCGCAGAAACCCTTTTCATTTTTTTTATATTTAGCTATCACAGGGACATTGATTTTTTTTCTGATATACAATATATATATATATATATATATATATATATAACAGTAAAAGTTTAAGGCGACACAAATCCATTATAACCATCCACTAGACATTAACAACACCAGCATAAAATGATTTTAGAGACAGCATACTTCGTTCAGTTTCCAAACATTGACAGCAATATACCTTCTTCCAATAGATTATTTAATTTATATGTTACAGCTTTTTACCTACTGTAGTATATGTTCTAAGAATCATGATAGCCTGGATAGAGGAGCATCTTTAATTTCGATAAGCTACTGAGCCAGAGTTTTGTACTTTTACACCGAAGAATGTTTAAACCATCTTCTTGAGCATATTTCCAAACTTTGTGACTTCATGAATTTGTTTCCTTTGCAATTAAAACTGTTTTCGACCAGCATGATAATCTGACTCTGATAGAAGAACAAAGAATGGGAACCACGTTTTAACAGGAAACAGTTCCCTTACCAGAGCAGCTGGTTAGCGTTGGCATTGGGATTACCCAAATCCTCATTTTGATTCTGTACATCATAGGGTCCTGCTCACCTTTAGTCCACTTTTTTTTCCTCGTCATCAATGACGTTTATTGTTCTATTTATATTGAATTATTTCTGCAAGAAAGACTGCGTTAAGAGTTATTTTTTGTTTGCCCGAGCGACGATCAAGGTTATTTGAGGACGTGTGTCTCTTCTGATCATACCCATGTAAATCAAAGGAACATGTAGCCTCAAAGTGCTATAATCAAGGTATTTAATTTCCTTAGAGGTATTAATAAGATAAACAAGCTGTGACTTATCTATCATTAAAACAAACAAATCAGGTATGAAGAGTAATGTTTGTATAACTTTAAAAAAAACCACTCACAACGTAGGAAATGTAGAATGTTTTTATTATGAAAACAAACTAACAAAATGACTGGTTTGACAAAAAAATATGTTAGTTGGAAAGATATAAGTAAGCAATCGGAAGAAATACGATCTAGAAAGTATCTTAATTATCTTCTAATTAAAAAACGTCAATGCAACTTGCTCAGAATATCATTATGCATAAACAAATCCAACTGGGATAAAAAGACAAATTTCTATTAATTCGATTTTAGATATTCGAACACAAATTGAAGCAGCATTATGACGTCACCAGCTCATCTGCTATTAATAATAATGTAAAATTTGATTGACGTAATACGTATATTAAACTACAATCCTTAAGAAATTACCGCCACACTTTAGTCTCTTTGTTTATCAATGCCCATATATGTACGTGTAGGGTACGCTTGTAAGTTTAACCTCAAGAGTCGCCTTCCTTTTATACTTCAATAGCCGCTTACTCACAACTTTCGCGTACGATGATGAAGCTGTATTTATAATCCGGACATATCTTAGCCGGGGATATAAAAGACAAAAGCCTATGAAGTAGTCTGAAAGACGTGCACCAGCAACCGATCAGAACTGAATTTTAGACTCAACATATATACATTAGTATAACTAGAAAGTAGAAAGTGTGTTTTTCTCTGTGGTAGAAATGTGGCTAGAATTAAGGCTTGTCAGTGTGTTTGTCATTGCTAGTGTGATTGTATCGTTAGTAAGTTGTCACTCATTAAATACAAACAGAGAGAAGAGACAGACAAATGTCATCGACGTTCCTCCGGTGGTAAGTATTATCTTTCAAATAAATTACAATAGTTGTTTTCAATATTTGAAAAGGTATATAAAGAGGTAAACATTTGTATATATATATATATATGTATGTAACAACACTAACATTTACGTTTAGTGAAGAGTTATAATGAGGATAAAGTTCGGCTGCTTAGATACCAAGAACTGTCACTCTCTAGGTGTGGTATAATGAGTACAGCATGTGGCTGTTTATATTCTCAGAATTCTAACGTGTCGTGTGTTAATGAGGTAATGATACGTATGTATAAATTATCAAGGAGTATATACATTATATATATGCATTTTAGATGCCTCATTTATTTAATTAAGATCTCACTAAATCTGTCAAATTAGTTAAAACTAATAACGCTATATTTGTTTGTGTAATATGCAGTTGAAAAGAGTACAGACAAGTTAGTGAGTGGTGAAATACACATTGAAAACTTGGTCTAACCATTGCAAAGAGCTACGCTCAGTTCTCGTGGCGTTTTCCTGTCGTCTATTCCTTAAAAATATACAATGCGTTTATATGTGTTTCATAAGATATGTTGCTATTATGTTCACTTGGGAAACATTCGTCATGTAAATGAATACATAGAAAGGTATTTTGTGCTATTCCATTACAACCGAATCGAGCAAGCTGTGAAACGGATGTCTTGAAATCTATTATTTTTAAAGACAACATAAATATGCATATTATCACTTTAAAGCTAGATATTGATAAGTGTTGTTTTATCGAAAGTATCAAGATATGTATTGCATTAGTTAGTCTATCCTATAATTCATTGAAGCTGCTTAGCATAAATTAACGTGCTAGTTATTTACGAAATAGCCAAAGCATTGGGACGTCAGGCTTCACTATCCATAATGTCTCAATAATAGACGACACGTTTGTGTGTTATACGTGTATCGTAATTAAGTTCTTAATAAAAAAAAATACGCAGAATCAAACTCTGTTATAGTCAATCATAACGCGATGTGACGCCTCCATTTATATCAATTCAGGAATATCTTCGCCGGTATGGGTATTTACGGGACCATTACTACACCAGCAATGTCGCCCCGAATTCCGAGGAGTTGACAGAGGCATTTAAGTAAGTGTCGTTTGTAATTTATCTTTAAATAATCTATTGATTCGTCAATTACCCAGGCCAATCCAAACCCCCTTGATATTGTTCGGTTATGTTTATCCTATGACATTAATTAAATCACCAGCCTCTCCCGTCTTCATTGCTTTTACTAGGACAATTTCTCGTACATGTAGACTTAGGTTAATGACTAAACACAATTATCCAATTCCTCATATTCTGAAGTAAATTTGTCCTGTACTAGATCATGCTAAGATCATTTATTTAATAGTACCAGAAGAGGCAATATCTTTCCATGATGATATCATAATGTGAGAAAAGTATATCCCAGGATTCTGAATGGATTCTCCCTATCAAAAACATGCAAAACATCTTGTCATGCATTGCTCGAATTTTGAAGAAAACTTCCTTGTATAATAATTACAGACTGGCATATTATATGAATATCTTCTTAAACATATATATGAACAATTCATGAAAATGGAGGTTATTCAGTGGTGTCCCATTGAATTAACTTTGCTTTTACAAATATGCCAGAATACCGACATTTATCACGAGTGCTTGGTTAGCACGAGTAAAAATACCAGTATAATCTGCCTTAAAAGTTAAAAAGTATGGTATTTGAAAGGAAAATCATTAAAATTCCTTCGTATTCATTTTGAAATTCCCCACAATGACAAATATGTTGAATTAAAAATGTAATCGGATTAGAAACGCCATTAGAAATTTTCTGTGCCAGTTTAGTATGTTACGCGTAACAACGAAACCGCATGTCATTTATAATGCTGCATCCAAAACAACCCCATTTTCACCTACTATTTGATAGCATTCGCTAACAATTTGCTTTACACTTATGAAGCTAAACACAGGCCGATGTCTAGATTGCAAAGCTTCTGTAGTTGAACAGGTAATCTGCGGCTTTGAATGAAGTTAATAGAAAGGACCGTCGTGATTGGTCAATACAAGAGGTGATATACTACACTGTGGCAGATAGCACTTTTGATATCTGACACGGTCGGAAAAAAATTACCAACTTGGTATCAAATAATATTTGATTTGATGTAATTTCATGTTTGATGCTGTTATTATACTGGTATTCTCTTTCAATAATTGCAGAATTTACCAAAATTATCTTCGACTGCCCATCACCGGATCCGTGAATCCAGATACACAATCTGAGATGAACAAACCGCGATGCGGTTGTAACGACGTGTTTGCCATTTGGATGAACCAGACCACTCAGGATCGGGTTAAACGATTTGCTCGCTACACACCTGTTAACTTCAACGCACGTTAGTATTAACATTTATCATGTATAGGCATTATACTTATACAAGGATTACTTCTTACAATAAAAGGGAATTTTGTAATGTTCCGTTCACAATATTACGGTTATGCTGTTTTTTCTTTCTTTATGAGTGGTTGTTGGGGTGGGGATGGAGGGTGGAGGGGCGGATATCGGGTTTTCATGTTATTTCTTATTTTTTAAATGGATATGTAATTGAAAAATATAATTATTTAAATATTTTCACATTTTTAATGATATAAAACTTCGTCTTTTTTGTTGTTTTTAGAATAGAAAAGAGTAATTTTTAGGATGCATAAAACAAACACTTAAAATAACACGTATATGCCATATTCTTAGCTTAATTCATTTAGAAAACAAGGCAGTAAAATTTGATATTTCAAAAATTTATATATAAACCTTTTATACATTTTACAACAAGTAAAAAACAAATTATTTCAACTTATATAAATCACTCTTGTTCGCCCGGATGTTTGCGAGCAGAGAGTTTCATAAGTTTAAGTGTGTATTCGATAACAGTATTTACTTTGAAATTACATTATATGTGATGGGTTTTTAATTATACTTTATGAATTCTGTTCACATAATTCAAATTAACTTAAAACAAGCAACCTCTGTTGAACCCAATATCCTGTATTTCACAATTGTAGTCAAAAACCCTTCATCATGATGTACATGTAAAAGAATTAAAGCAATATGGAACCAAATTGAATGTAACTGTATTGTAGGAAGAGGTTGGAGAAGGACGGACCTAACATGGCAGCTGTTAGGATCTACCCGGGCACGCATTCCGTCGTCCGTCGTCAGGTAATTCAACGTCTATATCCGAAATAGTCTTTGTTAATATTTTATTAATTCAAATATATATTATAACCATACCGGCATAGCAAATCAGAAAAAGGTTATAAATGCTGGAGAAACCATCCTTATATGACAGTGAACGTACTATCTCTAACAACTAAACTAACTTGTAGCAGGTGCGTAAGATTTATTTCAATCGTTGTTTGATAACAAATTAGCATCACTTAACTTTCAATAATAATACATATTCGAGAGTTTATGACTAACTTATATCTAGAACCTATAGAAAGTGACAGATTCGGTTGATCCACATTGATATACAAGTGAAGGCAATCTAAAATTACTGTGAGGATAACTTCCAAAACACAGAAATGTATAATCATTCAAATGTTTGTAACGAAGGCAACGAAATCTAGTCTTTTTTTACATACAAATATATAGCCTTCAGTACTGATTTATTAACTAAGCAGTATATACTACCTATAGCAATACTACTAGAAACTATAACTTCAGTCTTAATCTACTCCTGATCGTCAAGAACAAAATGCTTATAAAATGAATATTTACATTTGAAATATAACAACTGCATTTATAGATATATGTTAATTGTCGCTAAGTTTGGTTTGATTTCTAAAACAATGTTATCTTACATATCATGGCTTGTTGTTTGATTTCCACCAGTCTAAACTTGCCTTTTATCTTTGACCGTACTGCAAACAGGTCGGAGATACGGAGAGCATTTGCTCTATGGGCAGCAGAAACACCATTAACATTTAGGGAAGTCAACAGTAATCCCGACATTGAAATTGACTTCAATGTAGGTGCGCATGGCGATGGCAGTCCGTTTGATGGCCCAAGTAAGTACTGACTGCTCATCCTGTAGATGTGTTCAAATTCCGATCCGTAGCTGGATAAAATATCCGGATTTATAAATTGTCTTTCATGCATCAGTACCAAGTAACAATATTAAATGTAAAAATACACTGGGTTACAGAATCTGACATTTTTATACGGAAATGTGTCTGTAATATACATATTTATATATAGAGAAAAAAAACATTCCTATGTGGAGCATACTTAATGTAAAAATACACTGGGTTATAGACATGGAGCGAAATATGTGATATACATGATATACACACACACACACACACACACACATAAATAGTAGATAATAAATAAACAAGTCCTTGCGAAGGAAAATATAGAATAAAAACATAAATCTGACAGATTTATGTTTTTGTTATATATATTCAAAAAATAAAATCTCAACAACGAATCTTTAGTACTTTCATCTTGTCCAGCATATTCTTCAGACTATAATGTCCTTATATATACACATATAAAGAAAAGGCAATTTCTTTCCTGATAAGTTCTTCAGTTCTCATATAAACATTATCATAATTAAGACTCTTTGTGAAATTATGCAAAGGAAATGATGGACGAGAACCATATTGATGCATATGCACCATATAAAAATTATACATAACGGTTTTACAATTTACCGTCTTTTGGAGTAGAGCGTTTGATTGCTAAAGGTTTGATTAAACTATGTGGAGATCTAAATTTTCTGTTAATTATTATTTCAGGTGGAGTACTTGCACATGCCTTTTTCCCTGAATTAGGTACCACTCACTTTGACGATCGGGAACAATGGACAACAAACTCGACAACAAGGAGCGGAATAGACCTGTTTATCGTGGCAGCTCACGAGTTTGGCCACGCTCTCGGTCTGGACCACTCCAATGTTCGTGACGCTCTCATGTTCCCGACCTATCTAGGTTACATTCCAGACTTCAAACTAAACACGGACGACATCCGAGGAATCCGGAGTATATATGGTAAGTCAATCTGTAAAACCTCGGGGGGAAAAGGAAACATTCTTTGCTGTAAAAAGCACCCTTTGTACATCATACATTCGAAAGCATTGATGGTATACAATTGTAGCAAGTGTAATGATGGGTTTGATTGATTCCATTGCATACATGTGTCATGATTATGACTTTGTGTCGCTTTTTATTCAATAGCAAATTGTTATGGACTGAATTGTTAAATATTACAAAACAAATAATAAAAAAGGAAAAGGAAAAATTTCAATTGCAAACCAGATTCCTTTATACTTTTAAAGCCTAACTAAAACATGTATAACATCACCCATATTACAGCATTCGTTATTTGATCAGACGTTTGTTACATAAATAGAAATAAGACAATAGAAAAACTAAACAATATGTTTACTTTGAATTTACCTTTAAGGAGGCCCCCCTACTCCCCGGACAACTCGAGCACCGACTATCCCTACCACCCGTCCTACTACTCGCGCCACTACCCGGCCAACCCGTCGACCTACAACCCTTAGACCACGTCCAACAGTACCAACAACCGTCCCATTTCAATGCCGGAGGACTTTCGGAGCAGCTTTTGAAGGTATTTACTTCTGAGTAAAGTATCTTGCTATCTTTATAAGTAAGTAAAATCACCAAGTGATAGTGCGATATAAGCCGCCTTCATTTCAATTACGTGAGCCTATTTTCCTCATGCGCTTAAGGAGATATTTCATTCCTGTTACTGCTGTGTTGTAACAATGCGTGTTATAGCAGAATCAAATTCCTAGAAAGTGGGAGAAATAATATTTAGTCGTCAAGTACATCTTGTATTAATGTTTATATATTCCTAAAAAATCTGTCATCTGTTATAATTGTCTACCATTTGTTAGCTATACAATTTATATAGTGATTGAGATCATCATAAATCTCTATATTGCATATAACGTTGACCTTTTAGTCTGAAACGGGGAACTTAGAATCAAGTTAACAATCTGGAATACCAATTTATACTTAATATGACGAAATTAGGTTTTTACGACAAACTAATAATTTCAAGTGACATTGATATGTGATTGATACAGTGTATAACAGTGATTTTTTTTCCCACGCAGATGACAACGGTGATTTGATGATGATCCGAGGCATTTTCCTATACCGTATCCCAGTATATGACCCACGAACTGGATCTGCAGTCGTAAGTCGAGCATCGAATATGTTTCAGCGTGTGATGTCATTTCCGGATGCAATTTTCCAGGTCCCGGGTTCCACTTACGTCATCAGAAGTATGTTTTAAATTTCTACCGTTATTTTTTTTACTTCATTGAAAGGTATTTTTCAGGCAAATATGTCATTTTCTTATATAGATGACGTCGTATCCAACTATCCAGTATAAAACAAATATATAATGTTTAAGTATCCAGTATAAAACAAATATATAATGTTTAAGTATCCAGTATAAAACAAATATATAATGTTTAAGTACCATGTATAAAACAAATATATAATGTTTAAGCATTCAGTATAAAACAAATATATAATGTTTAAGTACCCAGTATAAAACAAATATATAATGTTTTAGTATTAGGTATAAAACAAATATATAATGTTTAAGTATCCAGTATAAACACATATATAATGTTTAAGTATCCAGTATAAAAAATATATAATGTTTAAGTATCCAGTATAAACAAATATATAATATTTAAGTATCCAATATAAACAAATATATAATGTTTAAGTATCCTGTATAAAAAATATGTATAATGTTTAAGTATCCTGTATAAAAAATATATATAATGTTAAAGTACCCAGTATAAAAAATATATAATGTTTAAGTACCATGTATAAAACAAATATATAATGTTTAAGCATTCAGTATAAAACAAATATATAATGTTTAAGTACCCAGTATAAAACAAATATATAATGTTTAAGTATCCAGTATAAACAAATATATACTGTTTAAGTATCCAGTATAAAACAAATATAGAATGTTTAAGTATCCAGTATAAAACAAATATCTAATGTTTAAGTATCCAGTATAAAACAAATATATAATGTTTAAGTATCCAGTATAAAAAATATATTTAATGTTTAAGTATCCAGTATAAAACAAAGTTTGCATGAAAATTAATCACAGTAAGTCCATCCAATGCACTAGCATTCATAATTGAATGCTAAAACTCCAAAATATTTGAAAATATTACTTGATGTTGTCTCAAGGAAGAAGAGTACAACAGTTTTCTCGTCCTGATGGAACGTTACTTGGCCGCAGAGACCGGGTGGCCGACACGTGGAATGGATTAGGAGGATTACCTAGAGGAGCGAGAATTACAGCCGCCGTAGCCATTACCCAGAATGAGGTCCTGCTGTTTGGACGATTCCGAGTATGCTGATTTAGTTTTATTCAGAACTATAGATTATTTAATGCACACTGAAAATTGGAATTCGCGGCTGTAACTAAAACCGAAAAAACAAATGTTTGAGTAATATATTTCTCCTTACCTAACTATAGCTGCATTCGTGAACTGGTTTCATTTCGAAACTAGCGCGTGTGTACTCTGTAAATGTACTTACAGTTATAGTTGTCCATGCTTATCAGAAAGATATACTATTGTTTAATTCTATCAAATCTTTTATTCTTTCAAAACAAGTTCATTCATATCATGAAATTTAAATATATTTTTTCCTTACATTCATTCATATTATGAATTTTAAATATATGCATTCCTTACATTAAAACACACAAAAACAATACAACCAGGTATGAATCAATTTTAATCATAATTTATTTAATTCCAATAATTACTTTATAGCTTATATGATAAGGGAACGACCATAAATTCCTTAAACTCATATAATTATATCTGTCTATCATACTTTCGTTTTCTCTACCTAGGGACAAGGATACGTGTGGGAATATGATGTTTTCAACAAGGATATCATACAGTCCTCAATGACGTTAATGCAGGAAGCTTTCCCAGGAATACCTCCGATTGTGGACATGGCCTTGTCACGTGATCCAATCGAAATTATATTCGTCGCAGGACAAGAGTAAGTGACACTTACTGTTTTTATATCAAATTTCATTTGCTGAATAACTCATTAGATTTAAATAGAATACGATAATTTGTTTTATATCGTAAATATAAACGAAAAAGAAAAGGAATTGTAAGGAGTTTCATAATATTCTCTTATAGAATTAAAACTAGAGAATATCTTTATATTTCTTGAAACGTTCATGTCATAAATAAGGTTTTCTTTTTTCTCTCCCAAACCCCTATGCGTTTCCTAACTAACGACTCATTGGATAGACCTGCTAGGAGTTGGTAAACCTTTTTGGTTACCCACTAGGCCACTAGTTAGTGGGTAACACATTTGTCTTCTGACTTCACTTACCTGTAACAGTACTTTCGATGTCATCTTCCATTATGACGTCATGATCCATGGCAATTATCCCCATCGCAAAAGAAGCAGATCACTAAACATGTGATGGACGGTTATTATGTTTATCTAATTCACCTTATCTGAATTTTCAAATTCTAAAAGACACTCGGTAAACCTCGCGTCTTCGGAAAATAAAATAAAAACTAACCCGAGTTAGATAGACAGGAACACCAACAATCACTTGTTTGGAAATCTCTATATATCTTTCACCAATGATCAATTCTTGGTAAAACTGTCACACCTCCGCCATCATCTACCAAAACGTTATTGATCAGTGATGTGGTGAGGGTTTTTGATTTTCCAGATGACTTCTTACAATTAACCTTATTAGAGATTTGTGACGTCACATCACCAAGAGAGCTGAAGCGATATCTGATTATTAAATATGTAATTTTAGACAAAGTTTGAAGCCATCTATACATAAATTAAAATAATCAGGTAGACAAATGTTCTTGCTTCTATATTCCATCTAACTTTTTAACAGGTACTTCCGATATGACACAGAGTCTCAAGAAGTTGCGGGGCCATTTGCCTTCGCACCAGCTTTCGTTGGAGGGCCATGCGGAAGTGAAGAGATATAGAGATGGTTTTTACATAACGGACAGTCGAAAGTGTGTTACTCAAAATTAGCACATATGTTTTTAACGTATTTTTATTTCAGTAAACTCTTTGTTTTAAATATCGTGTTTTTGTTGTGTTTTTGCTCAACGTTTCAATTTTAGGGTACACACTAGCTAACAATGACTTGATTGTTGTTTAAAAAAGGTATCATCCAAAATAGTGTAAGTGATCGTTGGTCGACTTATTGATGACAAAGGTAAAAAGGAATAAAACACTGATAAGTGGTTGGGCAAGTCTGAATTACTAGATGACAGTATTGCTAATTAAGATATTTCAGGGAAAAAACTGAATTCTGTTGTTTTTTTTAAAATCAATCTATTAAACTAAAACCAATCTTTGCATTATTCCCGTTTATCGATGTGTCGAGTGGAAGGTCTAGCAATACCCGTTTAAGGGTCGCGTTCATGCGACGTTTTCATCAGCCAATCAGATAACATTTGACATTTTTCTTTTAGTGATAAAGTGATAATATTGGACACTTGTTACGTTTAAACATCAAGAAATGCCAAGTGTTTATAACAAACTAGAGTTTCCCATGATACCACGCAGAGTGCATTTACAGGGGGATTCGTTAGGTTTGCTTCGAGACAAGACAAGGGGGACAGGCATATTGTCTTTAAAACACTCAACAAATTAAACTTAAAGTCAGCGCTGACAGGCCCCAAAACATGTCAGTAGTTCGAGAGTTCCAGGACACCTTTTTGTGTTGGACAAAAGGCTGAATCGAAAGGTGTTAGAAAGCTGGGTTTTGTTTGGTTAAAAGCAAGAGTTATCTCGTGTTTTGGTTGGCTATGAAAGAATTAAGATTTACCTCTGATGTAACCCTTGATGTGACGTTGTTGGATTTCATTTCATTTCAACAAATTTTGTTGTTTCGAAAACAAACGGATTGGACATTGTTAGATCTCCCATGATGTATACCAGGTCGGATTGAATGTGATTATGATAAAACCAATTTCAACGCGTACAATTCATTTTTCAAATATTGAATGTTGGTTCCGTGATGTGACCCTTTTAAGTTAACAGTCTAGATTGCAGAAATGCCATAACTGAACATGTGTGTCCTTGTTATCATTTAAGGTCTTCGACCAGCGTAAATAGGAGATTAGAAAATATTGATTCAATTATTCGCTATACTGCCACTATTTGTCGCGAGAAAGTTTGGCGTTAAGGAGTTTGGCGATAAATTGAGGGTAGCATGTGAAGGGATTCGTAAGAAATATAGACTAAAGGGCGTTGCAAATGTTGGCGGTAAGCGAGTTGGCATTGTATCGAGGTATGACTGTATTATCACGTCCACTTGTGCATGAATTAAAAATCATTTTCTGATATCAAGGAAACCAAAACAAATGTTTATTTTCTGCAAAAATGAATCTTCCTCATTCGTGTTAACGACACTTAAGTTTAATAAACCTTTTAATTTGGTTTTTTTTTGGCTTTAAACCGGTTATTAAACTAAAGGACATAAAATGGGTCCCACCTCGTAAGACTTGCATGGAATAATACCCTTGTCAAATGTTGGTCAAGAAAATCAAGAAAGAGAATAATTTCGTCTCTAAATGATATTACACAGCAAAATATTTTGTATAAAGTTGATAGTGATATACGTATTCAGAGCATTCCTCTACTGTCATGCTTACACACAATAGTTAAACTGTTAAGTGTGGTATCCTGTTAAACTCTAAGTCTGCTATCGCCATCCACCGTACTTCCGCAGCATCCGAACCTCTTAGTAAACCACTTACCACATGCAATTAGATGATGCAGACATGATTCAATGAGAATATGTAAAGTAAACATCAGAAATACGCGTAGTAATGTTTATCTGGTTTTGGTTTCTCTTCAAGATGATCTACCTATTCCAATTTTAAAACAAATTTTGAAAACTTGAACATGACCTTGTGAAACTAAAGCCAAAAGAAAGACAAATTATTGTTAAGTTTAGAACTTCAAATATGCACTTACCTATAGAAACTGGTAGATGGATTGGAATACCCAGAGAATGGTGATGAATATCATTATCTATTTAAGTGCGAACACGTATTTGTTAAACAAATAAGACAACTATTTATTCCAAATTACTACTATACTTAAGTTTTATTAAATGTTAGCAAATTTCTAGAAAAACTTGAAAAATTATATTGAATTTAACTAATTAGTTTATCATGGTAGCCTTAATGCCTTTGTTATCCGCCATGTGTATATAAATATAATACATATTGACCTCTTGTTACATACTTTGTATGTCTGAGAAATCTGAAATCTGAGTTTCTAAACATACTGGGAAGTGATTAACCAGACCTTATTATAGTGAATGCTGAATATATTCGGTCGTTAAACAGAAAAAATAGATCTCCTTTGTTATTTGTTCATGTTATACGCTGTGGATAAACAGCTGTCTCCTCACAAAAAATACTTTATTCTCGATTTTGAATGAGGTTTGGTAACAATATTAAAGGCTAAGTTTGTTTTGAACACAAGCAGGAATTGAAATTTAATTTTGCAAAATAAGTTTTCATTTCCTGTTTGTGTTCAAAACAAACTTATTTTCGATTAGGAATGACTGGTCAACTGAATACATCTACCCAGAATAACCAGTCACACTCAGGGTATGCTCTGGAAGAACCAGCTGATAGATTTAAACACTAACAAGGACCACGTAGTTCTCTGGGCAAATTGCTTGAGTGCTTTATACCGCTGAATCCAGCTTTCGTGATCTAATTCTGTCTTGGCAGGTTCCGTAATCAAGGGACTGTATGTCATTTCTTTTATATAATTGAACAACGACATTGTTGCGTTTTCTCCATTCATTAATATATCAAATAGTTGAGAGGCACAACCTATGTTTTTTTTACGTTTTTTAAAGGTATTCAGTCGTCTAGCATATTAACACTTCTAAAAGCTTAGATCAGGTGCTTGCATTACCTTTTCTTTTGATATTGATGACATTGCCCCCCC